AGAGGGATGAAAAAAAGTGTTTTCGAGGAAGGTAGACATCAAATAGATAGAAAAGAGAAGGAACAGGAGACAAGGAGAAAGAATCTAGTTCGAAATTCTTAAATCTGCCTGGAAAGATCGAACGATATAATGTAAAGGGAGAAGAAAAAGAGAAAGCAGAGGTGAAGAACGAAATAAAGAAAGAGGGAGAGAGAGAGAGAGAGAGTAGACTCGCCGCGCGGGGGATGGAAAAAGAGCATTTTCGAAGGAGGCAGGTATCAAACAACCCCTACTGCCGGAATCGCAGGGTATTGCGCTCGCGCAAAGTCGGCGCGCGTGTCCGTGTTCCTCGTATAGTATATACGACGACGCGGGTAGAGCAGTAGCACCGGCACCACCATCAGCACCAGCCAGCATTCAGCAGCAGTAGCCTCGTCGTGGCTAAAGGGGCTTCGGGATGTCGTGCCACGGCCGCTAGTCCGTCGTCGCGGTGTGTCCGTCGTGCGTTAACGGTCCTCGTCACGCGTTACCCCCCGATCGACGTGCAGTTACGACAGGGTGCCAGGTACTTCGAGTTCGTCGAGTTCGTTCGTTTCCGCATCCGGGCTACGTTCGATCCACGAGACCGGTTTCCGAGAGCGGTTCGGTGCGCGTCGAGGAAAACACGATCTCCTGGAGGACTCCGAGATCGAGAGAACCGATCGTCGGTTTCCGACGAGATGTAAAGAACGTTTTTAAGATTCTTCCGAGTTGCCTCTGATCACCGGTATCGCGTGTTCGCTCTGTAACGTTTCTTCGCTTCACTTTCATTTTTTCTCTCCCCTCGTCGATCGTGTTCCCGGATCGATCCGCGCGACGTGTACCGGCAAAACGACGTCGCGTCTCGCGTCGACGACTTTGTGATCTGTCGCCGATCCCGTGTCTCGCGGGGTGGAACGTCCGCCGGCCTGTTGTTGCCGGTTGTTTGCTCGTCCGGCTGTTTGACGTGCGCAAACCGTTCGCCGCGGATTGTTTGATAATATCGATGCCGGGGCATTTATTATTGAGAGTAAGGTATTCGTTTTTATTTGCCGACGGGCCGAGGGGGCGACATAGGGAGGCCGGCGTGAACGCGACGAGGGGCGGCCGGACGTGCCGAAGTGGCATTCTTGTAATTGGAACGGGAACGCGCGTACTATGATCTTGAAAAATCGACCGGGTCCGGTTTAATGAAATTTCCCTTGGTTTTTCCCCGGCCTTGCCGCCGCCTTCCTCGATCAAATTAGATTCGTTCGGCGAGCTGTCCGCGCGCCGCGCGGGATCGGGCCGCGCCGACTGGAGAAAAAAAAGGATATATAATCTTCGGTTGTTCCTCGATTCATGCGCGGCGGTCTGTAAATCGTTCCCGGTGATTTATGGCGATCATCAGCGATCGCTCGCTCGCCGGCCGCGCCGTTACGGAACCATAATATTCCCGGATCGATCGTGCACCGGTGATCAGAGGCCCCGGCCGGCGTTTCGCGAACGGATCGACGTTCGCCGGGCGCCGGACCCGCTGCGTGTGTGACGCACGCATGATTTTCTCGATAAATAACCGGGCAACATTTATCGAAGTCCGTCGCACGCGGTTTGCGCTGATCACTCGCAACGCCGCGGCCCGGTTATCGTTATCGATTAATCAAAACCTGCTCGCGCGAACGCCGATCGGCGTAACAGAGAAAAATCCGGGAATCGAGGGAACGAACGACGACGTTGTCGAGTAAAAACGTGTACGAAAGAACGCGAACGATCAGTTCGTCCGACAGTGAGCGACACGAGGAGTCGGAGGTACCTGTAGGATCGAAAGACGCTCGCGGCCGAAGGAAGATTCTTCCGCGGACGTGTCTCCGACCGATCGGTCAGTGTTCGGACTGAAACGGCTCGCGAGGAATCCGTGCGCGGACTGTTGATACGTCGTTTCGCACTGGTGCCGCGTGGATCCGCAAGTGAATATCTTCGTTGTTCAACGTTTCCGGCGGAGACGGTCGCGCGGAGTGCAGTGGGATAAATGTTTCATGGACAGCCGTGCCTCTCGCGCAGGTAATACCGAAGCGAGCGACTCTCGGAGGGCATCGAAGGCGGGCGACGCGGCTACTCGACGATATGTCCTCGGAAATCCACGGACTCTCGTGAAAAAGTACGTATTATCCGCCGCTCCCCGGAGCTGCGCGCCGCGCGGGGCGCGTATCGGGGATTTGGAGCTTTGTCGCGGCGAAAGAGTTATGGACGATTTGTAGCCGCGCTCTTTTTAAAAGACTTATTACGGAGCTTCCTCGATAAGCGTTGTAAATCAAAATTTCCAATTGGCCGGCCGGCCGGCCGGTATTACGCGCGCGGACCCGCTTTAAATTTTCCCTGATTTATGGAAATCTCTCTATTTAGGTGGCGCGCGGGCACGAGCGTTATCGCGCCTCGGAACGCCGGAATTTTTATCGGGGCTCGCGGCCGAGTCGGTCGATCGGGAACGGAAGGATTCTTGCGCGGCGAGTGGCCGAGCGTGTAATGCGAAAGGAAATTGGGGGTGTACGGCAATTGAACGTTGGATGTTCGGAAGCACTACTTCTGCGGTCTACTTGTGCTCCAGTTTTCGGGACGGAATGCGGGGAATTTCTTTTCTAATCGCTGTTGGACAACTCGTAGAGCTCTTGATCCTTGCGTGGCGTATTAAAGGATTCTTGGAAAGTTAAGTCATTATTATTCAGAATATTTGAATTAAACATTCCTCTTGCGAACGATTGATACGAAGGTGTCTGGAACATGGTGATCGATCATACTTTTACCTACAAAGATAAATTTAGGTGTTATGATCTAGAAAGATACATGCAATAACGATCCTTCACCCGCTCTATAATTAAAGCAACGCTTAATTTAAACTCTCCTCACAAAACAGCGTTCACTCTTCGTTCCACTTTCCATCACACCGCCACTCCACAAACCCAGAAAGCGGAATTGCCTGCCGAGTTCCGCTCCGCGAAAAGATTGGCAGCCATTTCCCATAGAAAACACCCGGCGCAACTATTTCCTCGGAGGGCACCGAATCCATAGCGGCGGCGTATGAATATATTTGTTCCCCGGCACTCGACCGCGATACTCGATCCACGGCGTTTTAATGGGACATGTAATGGATTCGCGGTATTTGTCCGTGTTTCGCTCGATCCCAAACTCTCGCCGAGTGTTCTCTTTGAGCCCGGTTGGACGCAAACATCAGCAACTCCTCTATCCATCCGCTTCACTTCCCTTCCTCTCTCCCTGTTCCTCCCGCCCACGCTCTTTCTCTCTTTCGATGACTTCAAACGGTTTCTCGAGTGTGCTCGAGCCGAAGTGCTCTTGCAGTTACAAAGATATACGTTGCTGATCGGAAAGTGTACCGGTGGTGTCCCTCTCCTCCTCCCTCCTCCTCCTCCTCCTCCTCCTCCTCGTGTGCCCGCAGCCTGTCCGTTTCAGCGCGGAAGCCGAACGGTTAGAGAACGCTCGAGCTTGCTGATGCACACTTTTGCGTTACAAAGAATGATTATATCCCCGGGGGGGTGGGGAAGGGGGAGAAGTGCCCGGCATTCGCGATGGGAACGAGACACGTCGCCGCGCCGGTGTGCAATCATCGAGAAACGTTTGACGCCTGACGCGAAACACGCGCGGCGGGCTTCCTCGAGACTCGGCGAGTAAGAAATTTGATCGATGGCCCGGCCGGGAGGGGCGCCGTGAAAAATTCAATGTTCCCTTTACGAAAAATTCACTCGGGCCTTGATGCGATGGATGCTATCCGGCTCGTTCGGAATATTAATAAACGATGCGGGAGGGGGGAAGGGCCTACAGAGGGAGAAGAGACAGCTCGGCGTTGGATAAGGTACGCCTGAGAAAGTTTCGCCGATCGGGGAGGGAAAAATAATTTGCAAACGGACTTCTTCGATTTATCCCGTCAGCCTGTTGAAGAGCGCACAAAGGTGGCGGTAAGCACAACTTTCCTCGTTAAGAAACGTTGATCTGAATAAGCCCATTCTTCGGTTGTTCACCGAATTCCAAAGAAACGCTCGCGAAAGATACTCGTCCTCCGTTCTTTTCCTTCTTTTTTTTTTCCACC